TACAACTCAGCAAGGCTGGGAAAGCCTGTGTGACTCTCCTGCCCCTCTGCCATTGCTCTACTCCTTCCTTGACAGGCTGGTGCTGTCTGAGGGAATGGCATTCTTATTCACTCACTTATGCAGAATAAAATAAAATAAAATAAAATAATCATCTACCAAGCACCTATTTTATGGGTCAGTGAACACATGATCATCTCTCATCTGGATTGTTACAGTAGCCTTCTGACAGTCTCCCTGCTTTTACCCTGCCCATCTGCAGTCTATTTTCCACACAGATGTCTGAGGATCTTCTCCTAAAAATAACTTAGATAATGCTACTCCTCTGTTCAAAACCCTCCAGTGGCTCTCCCACTTGCTACAGTAAAAGCCAGAGTCCTCACCAAAGCCTATAAAGCCTGAAGGATCTGGGCCCCCACTGCCACTTGGACTTCATCTCTGACCCATCTGTCTCTCCTAGTCTTCTCCAGCCACACTGGCTTTTGCTGTCCCTTCTTCAGCCAAGCACTCGTGCCTCGGGACCTTTGCACATGCTGATCTTTCTTTTTTTTTTTTTTTTTTTTTTTAATACTAGGGATGCACCCGAGAGCTTTTCTTTGTGCGGCCCTTTCATCTAGATCACTTTGTGTTTTGAACAAGTGAGACTCGCCTTTGTGCCCCTAGAATTTCAAGTACAGAGTCACACACGGAACAACAATGGCACGCTAATCCTCGCGTTCTAAATGGGCTCACTTGTGGGTCTGACAATTCGCGGGGGGAAGCGAGAAGAGACCAGCGAGGGCGCGAGGCGGTGTCGCCTGAGACGAGGAAGAGGACAGCTGCAGAACTAATTTGGATTACATTCTTTGCAGAAATTCTGAAAAGGGCTTTTCGGCATAGCTCAACCCTGAGCCACACAGTTGATACCAAATTGCTGCGGACTCGGAGCCGGGTCCTCCAGTGGCTGAGGCTGAACCAGACAGCCCCCAGTAGGTTGCCTCGTAGAAATTCCTCTCGGCTAAGTCTGCATGTCGGTAGCAAATGCTTTTGAATGGGTCAATGTGCATAATCAACCCATTGAGGAAATGATCTGTCTTTCTAAACTGCCATCCCCCAGACTTCTTCTACAAGGCTCCCTTCCTTCAGAGCTCTGCTCAGGAAGTATCTTCTCAGGGATATCATCCTCGATCACCCTCTGTAAAATGCACACACACCCTTTGCATTCCCCATTCTTAAAAAAATTTTTTCCATGCCCTTACCACCTCGTGGCTTTCTGTCTATATATCTTGTCTATTTGTTTGTCTCTCCACACTAGAAAATGACTTACACCAGGACAGACTCTGTTTTCTTTACTGCTGTGTCCCCCAGCACCTAGAACGGTTCCTGGCACTCAGTGGGTGGGGGAATGTGCTAAGTACTATATGGCATGTTGTGTATAAAAAGAGATGGATAAGAAAAGATCCCACAGGATCTTGCCTTTTAGGTGGCAGGAGAAGAGGCGTATGTAAACAGATCCTTGTAGTGTCATGACATGGGGTGCTCAGGGAGCCCTGGTGAGGGGCCAGGTGAATCAGAAAAGCTTTCCCTGAGCATGGACATTTGAGCCTGTCTTGCATAGTAAGAGCTGACTGGGGAGAGAGGGAGGGGTCCCCAAACCTCCCCTTGTCCTTCTCCTTCAGTCACACTGGCTGGTGGCTGTCCTCAATCCTGAGGTCCAGGGAATGACACGGTTAAAAGGAAGAGGAACACGTCAGATAAAAGATTTAGGTTTATATGCCTCTGGGTTAGCTAGGATCATGTGTTTCCTGGAACCAATCACTGAACGAGAAAGATGGAATGCTCTCATTGGCCAGGCCCGAGTCACGTGCCTCAACCCCGCCCTCCCGCCTGGTGGGAAAGGGTGGGGAAGGAAATCAGCTCTTCAATCATGGGGACTGGGCTTGCAGAAGCCCTGGTCCCAAGAGGATAGGTGCTATTTCCCTATGGGGAAATACATGCTGGGCGCAAAACACGGTTACCACTTTTGATTTAACCACTTTCTTCTTTTCACATCCCCGGTAGCCGTAATCTGTGTTCTGGTCTCAGTTTTCTTGTGCTCAGGACCCACCACAAACTACATGTCGGAACCTTTGTTCTGTATCCAGGCTGGGGAGAGGCCCCTGGACACCGGTGTGAGGGTGTGTGTGTGTGATGTGGGGGAAACATCCGGTCATGCTGGGCAGGGAGAGCGGGTGTTGAGGGTGTAAAGCCGTCCCCAGGTCCCTATAGTGAGGAGGCCGGGAGTACCAACAGAGCAGGCTTTACCTACAGACTGTTAAATAGGCTTTTCAGTTATTTACTGACAAGGTAAGTTCTTCCGGAATAGGATCCTGTTCAGAGCAACTGAACTCTTAAAGAAGAAAACAGCTTGCATAGTGCCTTAGTCTGTTACCTTTGCTATAACACAACACAGACTGGATGACTTATGAATAATAGATACTTCTCACAGTTCTGGAGGCTGAACGTCTGAGATTAGAGTGCCATGATTGGGTGGGGGCGCTCTTCTGGGTAGTAGACTTCTCTAGGGTCCTCAAGAGATTGAGGGAGGGACTATAGTGGAAGGACTAAGTAAGTATCTCTCCCTGGTCTCTTGTAAGGGTACTAATCCCACTCACAAGGGCTCCACCTTCATGACCTAATCGCTTCCCAAAGGCCCCACCTCCTAACACCATCACTTTGGACGTTAATTTTCAACATATAAATTTTGGGAGGACACAAACATTCAACCTATACCATTTACTCTGACAAAGCCCTTTGTTTTGCTTCTTAAATGCTCCTCTGTCCTTCAGTTGTAGAACAACCAGCCATCCTGGTTTGCCCAGGACAGAAGGGGTTCCAAAAACAGTTTTAAAACTAAGACAGTTTTGGCAATGCAGAGCTATGAAAACAAATAAACAAACAAAAACACCTGTGTTTTTAGGACTTTTAGGATTCTGAAATCATGGAAAATTTAAGCATGTACTTACAAACTGCTTTAATAAAGCACTATACTGCGTCTTGCCAAAAGGGAGACCACTCCTAGGTGCCGCAGGAAGAAAGAATTGAAATCACCTGTTCCTTAAGTAATTATCCCATGGCTCAATTGTAAGCAAAAGTTAGACTCAGGGGGCGCCCGGGTGGCTCAGTTGGTTAAGCGGCTGCCTTTGGCTCGGGTCATGATTCCAGGGTCCTGGGATAGAGCCCCACATTGGGCTCCCTGCTCAGCGGAGAGCCTGCTTCTCTCTTTCCCCCTCTCCCTGCTGCTCTGCTTACTTGTGCTCTCTCTCTAGCTCTCTGTCAAATAAACAACAACAATAAAAAAAAAATTAAAAAAAAAGACTCAGCACAATACTTTAATCACCTATTTTTCTGAAATATGTTTCTAATTATTCTCTAATATAAATTATTTCATGTTTTTGATGTATAACACATAGAGGAAACTGTACAAATCAAAAGACTCAAATCAATGGATTATCATGAAGTTAAGACACCATGTAATCACCACCCAAATAAGTCGTTTTTAGTGGGAAAGAACCCACATCCAATTACAGAAGAATATTCTTTTTGTTCTCTAAGACATCAATTCTCTACATCTGGAAACTGTATGTTCCTTCAGCTACCTAAACTGATGCCCATTATTAGTTACCAGAATGCCAGGTATAACATCAAAAGACAAATAATCCAAATCCTGGCAATCCTTGTGAATTATAAATGGTTTTCCAATGATGGAAATTTTTACATAATTAGCATTAACGTTTAAGTGTTTCCGGTTGAATTTTTTTTATAAAAACGAGTGTATTTATGACAGTGTACGTGTTTCCTTTCTTTTGGAAACTACTACTATGGGTTTACTTGGCTACATCAGCTGTTCTTGATTCCAGTTTGCATAGGTTAAAGATAAATGTAGGTGAAAGGCCCTACATTATGAGTGATGCAGCTTTATAAATGTTGCCAAAATGATGGTAAGAGCTACACAGTACAATTCTTATTTTTTAGATGATTACTTTTTAAATAGCTAAGAAACTGAGACCATCTGACTGATGTATATAGCAGACTAAGGGGAGCCCTGGAGGGCCTGTGTGGGCACAAACCAATTAAGTTGAGCACTCAGTGAAATTGCTTTCTAGGCCAGGATGGAGAATGATTGATCACAAGTCAAATCGTACACGTGTCAGGCTGAAAGAGTTTACAGGTAAATTTGGCCCAAGGCCATTGCCACTTCATTTCTCCAGCTGAAACACTTCAAGTGGTTAAGTGAGTGGGGGAAAGCCACTTAATTCTTTGTACAATGAGACCCTCCAGCTGGGTCTTGCGTTGGTTTCCACTTAAGGTACAGAGGTAAGAAAGACCAATTTCTGGTGTTCATATGCACGACTGAGGTTGGGAAGTCTGCCTGATCAAGTGGTTCTCAACCCCACTGGACTTGAGAAATTGCTGGGGAGTTCGAAACAACAAAAAAGACCCAGATACGCAGGACACACCCAAGATCAAACACTCCGAATTTTAGGGATGTAGAGCCCAGGCATCAAGCACGTTTAATCGGGCAATTCTACTGGCAGCTGTGGTTGACAGCGCTGGGTAGATTCAAATGGGTAAAAGCCTCTTCCCTTTGAAAGAAGGGTCCTGAGACCAAACTTGTAGAAGGGCTGTCCCCGCAGCCTGGGGGAATTTCAGCTCGCAGGTCTGGAGGTCAGCGGCAAGGGACAGCGCTCGGGTGCCGCAGCACCGACTTAGTGATAGACATTCTCGCGCACGTCTCCTTGGAGACACCCCGCATGAGCCAGACATTGAGGCTCAAACCCATGAACCCGGAGAGAACGGGATCACCAACCTCCCGACCCTTCTAGGGACCGACATCTGCGCGCGCCGAGACCGAGAACCGAAAGCGCATGCGCGAAGGATGAGCCCGGCTGAGGTACATGAGTGGACCGAAGCGGTACCTTGAGGCGCATGCGCAGTCGCGAAGGCGGTGCTTCCGGCCGGCGGAGGCGGGGCCTGGGTTCCGCTGGGGGGCGGAACCCAGACGGCGACCCGACCCCGACCTAGGTCGCGACCCCCACGCGGGCCCACCGGTATGGCCCGGCATGTGTTCCTGACGGGGCCCCCAGGTAACCTCGCCCAGGAGTCCGCTTCCGGGGGACCGCGGGGGTAGGCACGGGGGTCGCGCGGGGGGCGCGCGGGGTGGGGGCGACCCGTGCTCTTGGGGAGGCGCGGCGGGCTGCAGGGCTCTGGCTGCGGCCGCTGAAGCTCCCGACCGAAATAACAGGCTCTGTGAGCGGAAGCCTGCGTGCCGCTTCCCTGAAAGCGCGATTTTAAGTACGGAAGATCGGATTAGAAGCGAGGCGGACGCTGGTTAAGAAGAAAGTTGCGGTTGGGTGGCGGGCGGGCTTCTCCGTGACCGTGTGGAACAGCGGGCCGCGGCGGCAGGGTCGCTCAGTGGCACCGAACTTGGGCGCGAGCGGTGTTTCAGGCCGCCTGCCGCGCGGGGACTGACAGGACGCGGCCCGTCTCTGTCGGTATCGCCGCGTGCTGGGGGTCTGGCCCCCACTCAGGGAGGGAAGCGCGGGTGTTCGCCTGAAGGATAGTGAAACCGAAGAGGAGACCTGCCCCCACCCAGGCTCCTGCAGGGGCGAGGCTGCAGGGTGAGAAGCCTGTCTCAGATCCTGTGTCCCTGCCCAGCCCTCCTGATGCCAGTCTTTGACAAAGCCCTCAACCCTGCGGGCCTGCGAGTGGATGGCATCGTGTTCCCGCAGAGGAGCCTGGAGGAGGAGGTCATTCCGGGCCTGGAATTGTCTTTTACTTTATTTTAATGGTTATGTTTTGCCTTAAGCAGGAAAGGCCACACTTAATAATATTGTAGACTTTGGAATTTTATTGTTACCAAGCGGAGGGGAAGCCGTGAGGAGTGCGGTGGTGGTTGGAAGAATGGCTGACATCCAGAGGACTCCCTGACCTGGCAAAGGACTGTCTTTCGACTGATTTGTCGGTCCTTTATTTGAAACTGGGAATGCCATTTGCTCAGCAGGCTGGCCTCAAGACACCTACGTGTTTCATAACAGAAGTGATCTGTTACTGTGTTAGTACCTGCCCTGGGTCCTGCAAGTGGCTGGGGACAGAGGTTGGCCAGGGCAACGTTGGCTCTTCCTGTTTCCTTTTTTATAAAAGTCTCATGTGCACACAGTTGAAAGACTCAAGTAACTCCACAGTATAGCTCTCCTGAGCCTGTGTTAAAACCTGGTCACCCTCTCCATCTTCCTAGTGCAGTTATTTTGTAATCTTTATTAGCCTAGTACATGTAAAAGCTAATCCCAGAAAAGCCACATGGTCAGTAATCTGTAGTTTTCTTTTCCTTTTATGTACAACATTTTTTCCCCTTTGGAGTTACTGTCAGGCTTTTTTCTTTTTAAAGATTTTTGTTTATTTATTTATTTGACAGACAGATCACAAGTAGGCAGAGAGGCAGGCAGAGAGAGAGAGAGAGGGGGAAGCAGGCTCCCCGCTGAGCAGAGAGCCCAACTCGGGGCTCGATCCCAGGACCCTGGGGATCATGACCTGAGCCAAAGGCAGAGGCTTTAACCCACTGAGCCACCCAGGCGCCCCACTGTCAGGCTTTTTAAAATAGTTTGTATCACCAGCTCCGTCTCAGCCTCTGCCTGCTGTCTAAATCGAATCTGTACACTCAGATCATCAGGTAATGTATCTTCTCAAAGTGGCCTCTTTTCTCTATGTTGTCGGTGTCCCACCAGTGTATCCTTAGCACTTAGCATTTTTCCCCAACTTCCAGCTGTCCAACTTGTGACCGATCTTGGAGGGCTTTCTCTGGTCACTAGATTCTACTATACCAGTGCACAGGGCAGGTCTGAAGGGCCAGGGAATTCCTGTCCCCTAGGAGCAGCCTCGAACCCATGACAGATGGAAGTTGGTGGCGGAACTCCCTACTTCCTCCACCCTCGGGAGAACTGAGTCCTGCATCTAAAACTGTCCCTTAGGATTCCCCAGTGGGATTAGCTACCCACACGGGCAACTCGCTTGATAACGCAGTTACTTCCCTTAGTGTCATGGGGTCACTTTCCAAATTAAACTACCTGCAGTTGAATCTTTATCTCACGGTCACTCTTATGAGCGAACTAGAACCAAAAGGGTTCTAGAGCTGTCCGACCTGCTCGTCTTGCCTCTGTGTGGTGTGTGGAGCTGTCATTTTGGGGTTTCCTTCAGCATCGGTTACCTCTTAGTGTAGACAGCGCGAGGGTAGCGGCTGAATGGATAGAGATGAAAAATTAACTGAAAGAAGATTCTAGAGCTTAGGAGGAAGGGTCTTGAGCCAGTGCCCCCTCTTACTTCCCCGTGTCCTAGCCAATATGCAGGACACGCAGAGCCCCCTTTATTACAGCTGCTCTGTGTTACCACCTTCAAAATGCAGTAACTTTCTTTTTTTTTTACATTTAGAGTAAAATCCACTTAATATAAGACCAAAAAAAAAAAAATCAAAGTTTGACAGAAGAACGTGACAATCACATGGAATTGTTATGTACAGAAATAAGTGCTGTGATCCTTTCCAATTCCTTCTCGACATTTCCTTGTGTAGATACATATACTTTACTTTTTTTTTTTTTAAGCTTAGTGGAATACCACTGTATATGCCTGCTGTGTCTTAACCTGCTCTTTCTCCATCTGTCCACATATTGTGGTCTGCTTTCTGTGCTGATACATCTAGGTAAACAGTATTCTCTTTAATGGCTGCTTGGCTTTCCTGCGTGTTTTATGCAGGTAGTACCATAATTTAACACTCCCTTACTGATCAGCATATAGATTGCTTTCTGCATCTTGCCATTACGGTGAATACTGATGTAAATACCGTTTCATATATCTTTGGGCTTCGGTCAGATTTTTGTGGAGGGAATTCACAGCGATAGAATTGCTGTGTGCTGTGGAAGGCGTATTGAAGCTGCCCTTCAGAAAAGTATGAGCTTACATACCCACCAGTGCCACTGGCCGGCATTAACCAGGTTCTTCAGGGACGGAGCTGGGATGAAAAACCTACACCATTCTCTTCCAACCCCAGGGAGCATGTGGCTGGGTTGCAGTTCATGTTCCAGAAGGCCAGCCGCCATTGTCTGCTGGTGTGAAGTTGAGAGATTTATTAAAGAACTGATCATCGTTTATCTCAAGGAAGCTTAAAAGGGTCCTTGAGGAACCCTGATGACTGTGTCGGCATCCGTAGAAATAACATGATTTACAACTTTGTGCTGTCTCGAAACAGTCTCTTGCAGACTTGCCAGAGGTTTCCCCTTTTTCCATGTTGGGTCATCACGATGCCATTGCCTTCGGTGTGTATGGAACAAGGCTCATAGAAACAAAGCCATGGGGACACACCAAGGCCCCTATTAACGTGCATGATCCTTACTAGTTGTGTAAGCCTGGATAAGTTACCTAGCCTCTCTGTGCCTCATCTGTAATCCAGGAACAAGAATGGTGACTGCCTGAGAGGGGGAGTTGTGAGGATTTAACCAAAGAAATGCTTGTGGAGTGTGCTAGAACAGTCTCTGGCTTCACAGGGACGGGTTACTTTGTCAGCTCACACATGTTGGTGCTTGTGAACACATAGCAAGAGCCAGTCAGAGTAGTTAACAGGCCAGGTGGGTGAGGGGGTGAAGGTGCAGAAGCTGTAATTTGGGGAAGGGTTGGGGCAGACCAGGGGAATGCTTAGGGACGCTGGAGGAGGTCATAGAAGGGGTCGCCAACCTGTTAGGATTGCTCTTGTGGGAAAGTTTAAAACTGCTGTTTCTAGTGGGGTTTGTGGTATTTAAGAGACACTTTTTTGGGAGACAGAGTCATTTAAGTCCATGGAGGAGTGTAGGGATCTTCCCACAATTAAATATAGGTCCAGGGGCACCTGGGTGGCTCAGTGGGTTAAAGCCTCTGCCTTCGGCTCAGGTCATGATCTCAGGGTCCTGGGATCGAGTCCCACATCGGGCTCTCTGCTCAGCGGGGAGCCTGCTTCCCTTCCTCTCTCTCTGCCTGCTTCTCTGCCTACTTGTGATCTCTGTCTGTCAAATAAATAAAAATAAAATCTTTAAAAATAAAATAAAATCTTTCTAAATAAATAAATATAGGTCCAGAGTGTTCCGAAGGTTGAAATCCCAACTTAAGGTGCCCAGCATTTGACCCAAATATGACCAGGTTTACCTCCTCGTGAAAGAGTGTGGCCACCCACAGAGGCAAGTAAACCTAGTTCTAGAAGCTTGTCTCAGAGGATGCAAATTGCTCCTATCACCACAGAGCTACTCAGTTGGTCCTGGTATTGTATATGTGACAAAATTAATGGTGTCTCGGAGGAATTTTAAAATCAGACTTTAAGATCCCATTCATATTTTTATTATGCTTGAAATTAAAAAGTTTTAACACCCTGGAGCAATCAGAATTGAAGTGCAGTTAATACTCTTAAAACTCAGGTGCAGCCGTTTCACTCCCCGCCACGAAGGCTCTCAGAGTGGGTGAGTGCTGTGTGTCCTCTGGCAAAGGAGTGGTTCCTAATGGGCTTTTGTTTTGTTTTCTTTTTCTTTTTTTTTTTTTAGGAGTTGGAAAAACAACGCTGATCCAGAAAGCCAGTGAAGTGTTAAAATCCTCCAGTGTGCCTGTGGATGGATTTTACACAGAAGAAGTCAGACAGGGTGGGAGAAGAATAGGATTCGATGTTGTCACGTTATCTGGCCTGCGGGGAGTTTTGTCCAGAATTGGGTACTGGTATTTCTGTTCTGTGGTATTTTATTCCCCCTGGGTACAAGATTAAGCCAAATGATCCCTTCTATCTTGAAGAATCTGGGGCCTTTATGGATTTCTCAGAGAAAGAAAACAGAGATTGAAACCATCACATGAAAAACAAAGTATAAAAATAGCATATGTCACTTAAAACTCATTCCGCCAAGTAATAAGTGTTTAGCATTTTGTAATTCGTAGTCCTTTTTCCTGTGTGCCGCTTTTCTGTGGCGCGGCCCCCCTGCAGCTTCAGGATTGCCCCCCAAGGTCCCTGCCAGGCCTGGTGGTGGTGGTGGAGGTAAGCACTCGTGTTGGTAGCCCTGTTGTCAGGCATCAGGTTACATGGCATCAGGTTAGCTTTGCATACCGGCTGATTTTTAAGCATGAGTTAGCCTACGTGGAGGGCCAGAGGCTCACTGGAGTGGCTACAAACCAGTAATCAGTACGGGGGGGGGCAGTCTTTCAGCAGAGAATGCCCTGTCTTTTCATTCAGGTCAGAGCCTCCAGCCGGAAAACGTGAATGCCGGGTTGGGCAGTATGTGGTGGATCTGACTTCCTTCGAGCACTTGGCACTTCCGGTCTTGAGGGATGTAAGTATGTGATTTCTGCCTCTTGAGCCCATCTCTTCTTAGTGCATTGGGGGACTTGCTCGCCCTGGGAACAGTGGTTTTGCTCCAAAGGAGTGGCCAGTTTTGCATTTGACAATTGGAAAGTTTTCAAATGATTAAGCCTTATAAAGGATGTATGCACCATAATTTGATGTCACTCTGAACTACACAGAAATTCCTTGTTACACATATTCAGCTCATGGAAATATTTTATTCTGGGAGGGCTCTGATGCTTAGCTACCAAGACTCCGAAAGTTAAATCTTTCCTCTGCCTTCCTCTCTTATATCTTAACCCTGTTTTCACAGCACAACAAATAAACATTTAGGAAGGGAAAATGTCATTATATAAATATAATGGGAAGCACCTCACATATTACAGATATTCCTCAACTGACTATGGGTTTACCTCCTGATAAAGCCATCGTATGTTGAAAGTCTGGTAAGTGGAAAACACATGTAATACACCTAACCTACAAACCATTAGCGCTCAGCCCAGCCGACCTTCAGCATGCTCAGAACACTGTACGGTTGGGCAAAATCATCTGAGACAAAGTGTATTTGATAATAAAGTGTTGAGGATCTCATGCAGTGTACTGAATGCTGTACTGAAAGGGAAACACGTAATGGCTGTGTGGGTGCAGAATGGTTATTAGTGTATTGGTTATTTACCTCCATGATCTCATGGCTGCCTCAGACCTGGGACTCCAGCTCCTGCCCAGCGTTGTGAGAGATCATCCTGCATGCTGCTCCTAGTCCAGGAAAAGGTCAAAATTAAAAATCTGACCTGTGATTTCTATGAAATCTATATTGCTTTCGCACCATCGTAAAATTGAAAAATCATAAGTTGAACCATTGTAAGTCACGGACCATCTGTGATATATCGTATATCACTGTATTACCTGTTTGGTTTTTTTTTAACAGCTTATTGAGGTATAATTCACATACCGTACACCTCACCCATTTAAAATACACAGTTCAACTTTTTCTAGTATATTCACAGGAATGTGCAACCATTGGTCACAAGCTAATTTTAGAACATCTCCGTCCTTTCAGAAGGAAGCCCCATACGCACTGAGCAGTCATACTTCATTCTTCTATCCCTCCCCACACCTGGCAACCACTACTCTACCTTCTTTGCCTGCCAGTTTGCCCATTCTGGGCATTTCCTGAAAAGGGAATCGTATAAAATGGGGTCTTTTGTAACTAGCTTATTTCACTTGGCACAATGTTTTCAAGGTTTATCCACACTTCAGTACGTATCATTCTTTTTCATGGTTGAATAATATTCCTTTGACTGGATATACCACATTTTGTTGATCTGCTGATCAGTTGATGGACATTTGGATTGTTTCTACTTTTTGGTTATTGTGAGTAATGCTGCTCTGAACATTTCTGTGCAAGTTTTTGGGTAGACGTCTGTTTTCATTTCTCTTGGGTTACACCTGGGAGTAGAGATGCTAGGTTATAATGGGAGTTCTGCATAAATCTTTTTGAGGAATCACCAGACTGTTTTCCAGACCAGCTGCATATTTGCACCAGCAGTGGATGAGGATTCCAGTTTCTTCACATCTTTGCCAGCACCAGTTATGGTCTTTCTATTTTCATCCATTCTAGGAGGTGTGAAGCGTTATAGGATTTTGATTTGGATTTCCCTGATGACTAGTGATGTTGAGTGTCTCTTCATGTCCTTATTGGGCGTCTGTGTATCTTCTCTGGAGAAATGTTTATTCATTTGCTTTGCCCATTTTTAAATTGGCTTAGTTGTGCTTTTATTACTGGGTTATGAGATGTCTTCATAAGATCTGGATACCAGTCTGTAATTAGATACATGATTTGCCAGTATACTCTTCTGTTCTGTAGATGCAGTCACTTTCTTCATGGAAAGTAAAGTTCAAACATTTTTGAGAAATCCAGCTTATCTGTTTTTCTTTTGTTGTTTGTGCTTTTTGGTATTGTATCAAAGAAGACTTTGCTGACCTAATTTCATAAAGATCGACTCCTGTGTGTTCTTCTAGGAGTTTTACGGTTTTACTGTTACATATAGGTCTGTAGTCTAAAGTAATTTTTGTGTGTGCTGTTAGGTATGAACCCACATTCCTTCTTTCGCAGATAAATATCCAGTTTTTTCAACACCATATGTTGAAGACTCTTCTCTTTTCCATGTAATTTCCTTAGGACTGCTGTTGAAATCATTTGACCATAAAATACAAGGATAATTTGGATTCTGAATTCTGTTCCAATAATCCTTATGTGAGTTCCATCTATTCTTAGGTCAGTACCTCACTGTCTTTATTATGGAAATTAGGATTTTGACAGGGACTATATTGGGGAATATTGCAGTATTAAGTCTTTTGATCCATGAATACGAGATGTCTCTCCGTGTACCTAGATCATCATCATATTTTTTTTTTTAAGATTTATTTACTTAAGAAAGAGAGCGTCCACGTGTGAGTGCAGGGGAAGAGGGAGAGAACCCAGGCAGACTCCCTGCTGAGTGCAGAGCATGATGTGGCTCAGTCTCAGGACCCTGAGATCATGCCCTGAGCCGAAATCAAGAGTTGGACACTTAAGTGACTAAGCCACCAAGGCGCTCCTCCCTAGATCTTCTTTAATTCTTTTCTTTTTTTCTTTTTAAGATTTATTTATTTTAGAGAGAGAGAGAGAGAGCAGACAAGTGGCAGGGGCAAAGGGAGAGGAAGAGAAACTGAGAGTCAGAGACTTAACCCACTGCACCACCCAGGCACCCCTTCTTTAAATTTTTTTCAACAATATTATTTTGTAGTTTCTAGTCTCTAAGTTTTACACTTTTTAAAAAAAATTTACACCTTAGCATTTTATACTTTTTGACACTATTGTAAATGGAATTGTTTCCTTTATGTCACTTTGGAATTTATCATTACGAATGTATGGATGCACAAGTGGTTTTTATTTGATGATCTTGTATCCTGTAACCTTGCTAAATTTGTTTATTTGTTCTAAGAGTTTTTCAGTGAATTCTTTATGGTTTTCTGTGTACAAAATCGTATCATCTACAAATGGATATAGTTTTACTTTCTTCCTTTCAATTTTGGATCACTTTTATTTCATTTTCTTGCCTAATTGCCTTGGTTAGAATTTTTAGTTCAGTGTTGAATAAGAATTGTAAGAGTGGACATCCTCATCTTGTTCCTTATTGTAGGGAGAAAGCATTTGGTCTTCTACCATAAAGTATGACATTGGCTGTGAGTTTACGATAACCATTACCAGGTTGAGGAAGTTCCTTTTGTTCCTAGTTTGTTGAGTGTTTTACAGTGAGGAGGTGTTGGATTTCGTGAAATCCTTTTCCTGCATCTATAGTGGTGATATGTGATTGTTACCTTTCATCATATTAATGTAGTGTATTATGTTAATTGATTTTTGGATGTTAAACCAACCTTGGTTCTTGGACTGAATCCCTCTTGGTCACAGTGTGTGATTATTTTTATATGTTGATGGATTCAAAAGGATCATATGCAGATCCTTTTATGTATGTATTGCTGGATTTTATAAAAATAAATAAAAAATTGTTTGCAAGTATTTTGTTGAAGATTTCCACATCTGTATTCCTAAGGGACACAGTCTGTAGCTTGCTTGTGCTATCTTTGTCTGATTTTGGTATCAGGGTAATATTGGTTTCAGAATAAGTTGGGAAGTGTCCCATCCTCTTTTGATTTTTGGAAGTTTGTGACATACTGGCATTTATTTTTTCTTTGTTTTTCTTTGTTTGATTTACCAGTGAAGCCCTGTGGCCTGGGCTTTTCTTCACGAGAAGCTTTTTAGTTATGAATTTAATCTCTTTGCTTGTATAGGTCTGCTAATTTTTTATTTTTGGTTTTGACACTTGTGGTAACCTCTCTTTTAGTAATTTGTCTGTTTCATTTATCTCATCTGTTGGCATACAGTTCTTCATATATTCTCCTATAATCCTTCTTATTGTGGAGGTCAGTGGTGTTTTCCCTTCTTTTGTGTCTTATTTTAGTCATTTAAGTTCTCCCCCCCCTTTTTTTAAGCCAGAAGAGAGAGGAAAATAGGAAAAAGTTTGTCAATTTAGTCAGTCTTTTCAAAGAACCAACTTTTGCGTTTGGATTATAAATATATAATTTTTTATGTTCATTCATCAAATATTTATCAAATCCTAGATATGTAGTTGTGAACAAAACAGATATGTTTTCTCCTCTCTCGAGACCCTCAGTCGAGGGGGAAATGTAGACATTAAGCAAGTAAGTGTATGTCATAAGCACTGTGAAGGAGACCACTGGGGTGCTGTGAGATGTGCAGAAAGCTGACTTTAGATCAGGTGGCTGAGAAGGAGTTCTAGGGAGGCGGTGTGTAGCTGAAATGGGAAGACGAGAGGGCACCATCGCTTCAGAGAGTCAATACTGGGTGTGTGTGTGTT